CCCCTAATAAAATGATTTTTTTTTAAATCCTCAAAATCATTAGACACCAGGCCTCCTGGTCACATAGATACTGGTGGGAGCCCCCAAAACATGGCCTCTACTCACCTTTAGGTCTGGAACTGAACTCATCCCTGTGTTAGAATTATCAACTACCAGAGTCCAAAAGGACACTCAAGGACAGAGAGTTAGAGGAAAAGGAGGAATGGAAACGGGAGTTGTTGGGAGAACGTGGCATAATTGAGGGGAGTGAAATGGTTGAGTTGAAAAAAAACGGTAAATACTTGAATGTAAACATGATGGTCTGCTATGTAAACCTTCACCTAAATCACAATAAAAAAGATTAAGAAAAGAGAAAGAAGACTAGCAATGAATCTGTGAAACACCTCACAACATGGATGAACCTAGAGGACATCATACTGGGTGAAATTAGTCACAAACTGACCAGTACTACATGAAACCACTTTTGTGCAAAGTCAAGAAAGGCTTGCACATGAAAGGAAACGTTCCTGATGGGTTGCCAGGGTGGGAGGAGAAATCCCTAACTGGAGGGTGGACACTCATTTGGGTACAGTAGAAGTAGGTAGTAGGTAGATGTGTCCTCGATATCATCACGGTTTTGTCCATGGCGCTTTCCTTACAAACACCAGTTGGTGTGGGGAGGCTAGGAAAGTTGGACTAGGAAGATTTTTAACCCCATCACCACAATGTACTCACTCAATCCTTGTTGCAAGAATTAACCTCTGAGAGTTTTGTTGGTAACCTTACCCCATTCACTCTACAGCCCTCATCCCTTCAGACTTCATTTTTGTTCCCAAATCTCAGGGAACATTTCACAGGAAGACAATCTGAGTTCCTTGAGGATGTCAAATCTGCCCTTTTTACATAGTGTGACTCAAAGATGGCAGAATTCTTCCTGGATGGATATACTGCTTTCAAAGGTGTTTTATAAATCCACATGGAGGATCTGTCCTCAAACAATGGATGCACGTTTGCAGATTCTTGCTTAATGAAGGTGTCTGTAATTTTGTAGCCGTACTTTTGGACTTAACTTTGTATAAGGACACACCCAACTCCCTGCCATCGAGCCCATTCTGACTCACAGGGACCCTATGGGACAGAGTAGAGCTGCCCCTGCGGCTTCTGAGACTGACTCCATGGGAGCAGAACGCCTCATCCTTCTCCCTCTGAGAGCTGGTGTGTCTGAACTGCTGATCTGGATGTTAGCAGCCCATCATGTAATTCATTGTGCCATGAGGACTCCTTTTTCACTATATCTTGATAGATATTAAAATAGAGGTTGCCCTCTGGAGGGGTGGTCATTAGGAATGGGTACAAGAGAGGTAATGATCATGAACCAGGGATTGTGACACGGCTATGTTCACTTTGTAAAAATCTCTCCGGTTGTATACTTATGATTTTGAATGCTTTTGTATTTATCAGTGAGATGCTTTTGTATACATCAACGAAAAGGATTTAAAAATAAATTATAGCATAGCGATGTGGTAGAATCCTATTGGGTCTTTAAAAATATTTTCATAAATATTTCATGATATATTAATTAGGCAATAAACAAGGCCATCCCGTTATTAGAGAATAAACTAGGTACAAATGATACTTTTGTTTTAAATAAGAAGGTTGATTTGTTGGATTAACAAGTCAATAGAAGGTGGTGAACAAAGCCAGATTGCAGAATATTGAATAGAGAAGGAATGAGACAGGTAAAAATAGGTGTTAAAAAATAAGTTGCTACTACTACTAGAGACTTGTGCAAATCTCAACTGTCACTATCATGTAGCAATAGGGCCATATGAAAAAGTCCTTGTTTTTTCATCAATATCAGTATGGTTTTTGCAAATTCCTTATTGATACTTATGTTGTTTTTGTTTAAAAAACTGTTATTGACAATTGATATATGTATGGATTGTGGTAAGAGTTGTATTAGTCCCTAATAAAATGATTTCAAAAATTGTTATTGGTATAATAGTTTCAATTGACTAGAGAGATGCAACTGGTAGTAGCTTGTCTCCGTCTTCACTAATTGGTAATTTGCTCAGATAAATTTTGGTGTTTCATTGCATGAGGTCAAATTATCTCTCACCAGGTTGTAGCGGGACTAGGTATATGAAAACATCGTAATAGAATTAAACACTATGTATTGGTAAAGTTAAAATCCATTCTGCCATTTTTGCACTGAATACCGTTTGAGATGTGGGTTTTGATTGCAATGCATCGTTGAGAGTCCGGACTAGATGTTATTTAGCTCTTTATATTTCGAGGTGAATATAATTATTTTTATTGCTTCTCACTAATTGTCTTTAATCTGTAAGAGGAGTTGTCAGACTTTTCTCTTTATTTCAATCATTCTTATTTCACTTCGCTTACTTAGTAGTAAACAAACCCAGATCTCTTCAGGTGGTTCGAAGCAGTTTGATTAGCCCGAGTCTGCAAAGTTGTGTGGACAGAGCTAGCGCTGTGCTGGGCTGTAGGAAACGGCGTGGCACTAGGACCCAGGGGGCTCCCGTGAACGGATCTTCGGGGCCAGATTGCAAATTCGCGGTGACTCAGTCTGGTCGGCTCCTTGCGCTCGGCGGCCGCGGCAGCAGCTGCAGACGTTGGCGGCCGAGCTGCTGGGAGCAGTTCCGCTGGGTTTCACGGCCCGAGGCTTCTTTCGGAGCACCTCCGGCAGGTTCGAGGCTTCTGGGGACGAGTGGGGTCCGTCTCGTGGGGAGAAAAGGGTTGCTCGGCGCGGGAAGCCCTGGGGCCTGTGCACGGGGAGTAACATTTGCTCCGTCTCTTCCTGTGTCTGGCTTTATTTGCAGCAAACCAAGATGGAGTATGAGTGGAAACCTGATGAGCAAGGGCTTCAGCAAATCCTGCAGCTGCTGAAGGAGTCCCAGTCCCCAGACACCACCATCCAGAGGACCGTGCAACAAGTATCCTTTCCGAGGCCTCGCCGCCGC